CGATAACTGACTTTTTGAAAGTCAGGTAATATCACTTAATCGAGGTGAAGAATAGTCGAATTTGCGAGTAAAACAAATTCACTTTTGATCCGAATGAAACATGCTATTTTTTGCAACCTAATAATTAAAAGCTAACTAAAATGAATAAATTTAAGTGAAGTAACCACCAATGTGCCTCACTTGACAGATTATTATAATAATATGAGTAAATAAATGGAAACAAGGCCTCAGACTATCGTGTCAACAGAGACTACAGGCACGAATTCAATACTACTCGAATGCCGTGCCATAAGGATGCGATGCAACAAATAATCTGTGTGGTGGAAATATTTTTGTACATAAATTTGCACAAAACACAATGGCCAGTGGGTATCGTGACGACCTGATATGTTAAGGTTGTGGGTTCCGTGCTCCACTAACTTTTTCTCTCTATTTTCTTTCTATTTCCGAAGTGAATTATTCGATTTAGAGATCATTTTTATTCAATGTTCAAGGATGTGCAAATTGTAGATTCAATATAAATATCACAAATTGAGTAGGTATGTAATTTTGTTTGAGTTTCTTGTTGTTGTTGTTTGTTTATTCTTGATGATCTTGTACATTGTTTTATTTCCTAGGAGCTAGAGTTCAATTTCAGCTCCTAGGAACTAAAAGTGTTGCCTAGTAACATACCTATTTTTATTTTTGTGTCAGCATTAGAATGGCAAGTTCGAGAGCTAATTTTATAATCAAATGGACGACTTTTTAGTCGCTGCAACCGACTAAAAAGTGTTTGTCATGGTTGGAAAGTATTTTTTTGTCTATTGGAGCGAACAAAAAGGAGTTTTCATTATATTCATGGAACATCGTGCGAACCGGAAGAGGATGATAGGCAGAGAAGGTAGGTATTCCTTTTTTTTATATATCTTTTGGAGACTACAAAAACAAAAAATAATAATACCTATCTCAAGAATTCCTTCCTCAGTTTTGTGAAATAAGCTTCACCTTCAACTGACCTATATACAAGGAAAAGTTTTCGAGATATTCACACTTACAGAAATGCATGGAATATCAATATTTGTTCCTAATCTACAAGAATTGAAACTATTATAATGGGTATTAGTGAAACGGTATAACAATTGTGCATTTTTTGATACAAACATGAAATTATTATCATTGTTAGTACATTATATGAACCGTACTAAATAAATTCATTTTCAACAAAACTGTCCATTTCTGACAAAACTCTTGAAACAGGTCGACTTTTAATTTGAATTAGCTACATTCATAAGGGAAAAATAAATATTCAGGGTTATCCACGTTTGAATAATCACGTCAGTAACAATTTTTTGTGGTAATTTTTGTATATAAACTTTATGATCCTCAATCGAGCAAACATCGAAGATATCATTTATTCCTGAATGTTCAACAATCATTTTTTTGTCTCTTGGAGCGCACGAAAGGAAATTTCTATAATGTTCGTGGAACATCGTGCCTAGGGAGAATAGGGAGAGGCCAGTTCAACACTATTTTTTCATTTCAAGCTAAGCATATTACAACTTTAGAACTATATTTTTGACGTTTGTAGGAAAAATGTTGTTTGCAACTCGTACGCGGAAAACTTTGGTCATGCATCTCGAATTTTTTTTTTCTACAAACGTCAAAAAATGACTAGGTCCGCGCATTGATAACAAATTGCGAAGTGACACTTTTTTTCAGTTTCCTATACGTTACCATGATACCTTGCACAAAACAATGCGCGAAGTAAAACAGTGCTCGAAGTACCTACTTCGCGCATTTTTATGTAAAATATATGAGATATTTATATTTCAACTTCATTGTCTTCAATCGAGCAAACATCCACGAAATCATTTTTTTCTGAATGTTCAACAATAACTTTGTTTTATCTCTTGGAGCGCACGAAAGGAAATTCCTATTATGTTCGTGGAACATCGTGCGTAGCTAGGGAGGATAGGGGGAGGCCTTTCAAGCCAGTTCAACACTATTTTTTATATCAAGTTAAGTATATTTTTACTTCAAAACTATATTTTTTGACGTTTGTAGAAAAAATGTTGTTTGCAACTCGAGCGCGAAATACTTTGGTCATTTCGACTATTTTTTTAACTCGGCTACGCATCTTAAAAAAATCAGATCTCGATCACTAAAGTAGCATTTCGCGCATTAGATACAAGAATGACTATTTAATAATTTGCTACTGAAAATGATGAAAAATGCCTAGGCAAGATTTCATTCAAGTACGAATATTTCGAATATGCTTGTTTCAAGCAAGTTGGACGTTATGTTATTTTACAAAATTTAACAGGAAGTTTAATTAGCAACAATCTTCACTTTTCATTCTTCTAGATTATGTTGGATTTTCTCTCCTCGTTTCTCTAAAATAAAAATATGAGTATTCAATTTCAATATACGTGTAGTAGGACAAATCAGATGATTTGCCCCAAAATGTCACTGCGCTTGAAAATTCTTAGAGAAACGAGGAGAGAAAATCCCAAATAATCTAGAAAAATGAATATACCACCTCCTCGATTAACCTACAGACAGAATCTTTATTTTATCAAAAACGTGAAAAATATATGAAAGGAAAAGTTACTACAAGCTCCTTTAGCGCTACTCTGGATAAAATGTGACTTGTCAAAAATCTACCTATATTCGATATCGAATTCGAATGCAAAAATTTCAACCGTTCTTGCAGCAGCCTGTATATAGACCATACAGGAAAGTTTACTTTCGTTCATATTATCAGAGGAAATATTGGTGATATTACTTATTTTAGTAATTTTCATCATCAGTTTAATTTTCGAATGTACTATAGGTATTTCATCTAGTAGGGGTTCGATGAATGACCATACTTCATCTGGTATTCAAATAACCACCCCGTCTGGCATTCCAGTTCCATACCATAGTCTTTGATGATTCCAGCGTATGTACAGGGCTAGTTTTATTGATGTGAACCCCCCCTTCATCTTCTTTGTTTTCTATTCATTCAAGAAGATTCAAAACTGATTTTTTACGATATTCCATATTGGTTTCAATTATATTGAGAGAGTGTTGCAATATCTCTTCAAATATACAGGGTATACAGAAATATATTGATTTTTTTATATGGAATGCGCTGTATATTTTGATAGATGGAGATCCTCCCATATATATGTTTGAAAGGATGATTTAGAGAATTCGAATTTACCGAAATAAACAGGATGTTCATTTGAAAAATATATTTATTTCTGTATACCCTGTATATTTGAATAGATATTGCATGAGTGGAATCTGTGCGAAAAATTGTACGAAATCAGTTTTGAAATTTTTTGAATGGGTGGAAAAATAAAAAGATAGAGGGGGGTTCACATTAATAAAACTAGCCCTGTACGGTGATGAATCTGGACATTTCGACTCCTTCAGCGACTAGTAGGCCTTGGAAAATTGAATATTTCATCTATTTCAACATAGATCCTAGTACTATGTTTTGATTTGTCCATTTCTTGAAATCGATCAACGCGTTCGAAAGAACATACGATTAGGAAAATATCAGTTGTTTCAGGTCCCAGCTAAAATGTCCCCCCTCTGCTATGTGTTGCTAGTAGATAAATCGAATGTATACAGGGTCACACCAAAGTGCATCAAAGTTTCCTCATTCGAATAGGGACACCCATCAGTATATTATTTTATATTTAAGTAGAAATCATCATTACAAATTCAACAATAATAGGTTTGATGGAACTTTTTCAAACGACTACGAAGATATGGCAAGAACAAAAACGATCAATTTAGAATGAGTGATAATTATATTTCATCAATACAACACAACTTTGATCGAATAAAAATGGAATAATCATGACTTCAACTATTCAATACGTGCAAAAATGTCAGTCACTTTTGATAACGTCAATTGGAAGTTATTGTCATTACTTTATTATTGGATATCTACAGGGTGGGCCACCAGTAACGCATCGGTCTCTAGAAGGCTAACCACTCATCTTCTTGGAATTTTTCCTCTCTAGGAAGTTGCATGTCAACATAGGCTTCAATTTGAAATTATTTCAAACATACAGAGTGTCCCCAAAAACTCACAATTGACTGAAGTTATACTTTTTTCAATGGAACACCCTATGATTTTTCCTGAAGAGTTCATTTCAACGACTCATCATGCTTGAGGTCTAGCAATTATAATAACTGAGATATAGGATGTGGAAAATCGAGATTTTCCAAGTTCAAGAAATTTTTGTGTCGAAAATATCAATAATTTGTCAAAACGATTAATATGTCCCCATCCAAATTTTTTATCCACTATCAATAGATATTTAATTCAAACAAATACTGGGTGGTTCAGTATCAAGAAATTCGACCACCCTGTATCTATTTTGATAAAATACCAATCGATAGTAGATACAAAATCGAGATAGAGATATGTGAACCATTTTGACCAATTATGAATAGTTTCGACACAAACAATCCCTGAACTTGGAAAATCTCGATTTTTCACACCCTATATCTCAGTAATAATTACTGCTAGACCCCAAGTACGATAGGTCGTTGAAATCAGCTCTTCAGGCAGAATCTCAAAGTAGAATAATATTAAAAAACGTATAACTTCAGTGGATTGCTTTTTTTGGGGGGGAAAACCCTGTATGTTAACATGCAATGTCTAAGAGAGGAGGATTTCCAAGGAGATGAGTGGTTAGCCTTCTATAGAGCGAGGCGTTACTGGTGGCCCACCCTGTACACAGGTCTATTTTTTCCGATGCCATTATTCTTTGAACTTGTTGAAAAACATCCCATCAAACCTATAGTAGTTTTCAATTTGTAATAATGGGCTCTACTCAATAGCGAAATATGATACTAAGGGGTTCTATTCGAAGGAGAAAGTGCTAATATTCTGGGTGACCAAATTTCAAGGTGGTCAATCGAGCGGTTGATTTTTTATACAGGGCGACATTTTAGCTGGGACATTTATGAACATTTTTCGAAAAAGATCTGTTCACTCGAATTATATTAGTTCTCACCTGAAGATTCATCTATTAATGTGTCAATCTTCTCCAATAAGGACGCCATGGTTCCAATATCATCAACACTTCACCACTTGTTTAATGTTTGTTGTTGCGTTATTCCATGTACACGGTACCCATAGCCAGACCCAAAAGAAACTGATCATATTCCGATTTTGGCAAATATAAATAATTTAGCATAGTTCCCCTTGGTGTCAAAGAGCAACTGTTGTTTGTTAATTTTCTATGAAACTATATGTGTATAATATCATGATATGACAGTTCGTCGTCAATATCACGATATGACGTACTTTACTCAAAAAAGTAATCAGTCGAGATAAGTCGACCTAATAGTATACCTATTAGGTATCGAGATCGGTTAGGACGGTTTACCATTTGAAAAAACATACAGAAGGAAGAAAACAATTGAATCAACAATATATGTAGTAAGGAATATCATTATTATCCAGAGACCAAGATTATATTACGCGGTCTCGTGGTAATATTCTTCACTACCAAGGTGTATATTATGTTTTATTTACAACCATATATTTAATGTTGTCATTACTAACGTCATTGAAGGTTGGGAAGTGTCACATTACACACCTCTACTTCTCGCCCTCACTTCCCGCTCCTCACTACTTCCCTTTCTCACTTCCCGCCCTCACTCATGTAATAATTCAGGTATGTTCAGAACGAAACATAGATTTATCAATTTTGATCGAAATATGATAGTTGTAAATAAAATAGTATACAAACCTCGGTAGGGAGTTTCATTCCTGTCTCGAGATTATAGCTAACCTCTACGCTTTGCGTCTTGGTTAATTAACTGATCTCACGACAGGAATGAATCACTTCCCACCTCGGTGTGTAATATACTATATCACCAATAGCAATATTTTTAAATCATTATAGTTTTGGAAAACTGAAATACAGGGTGATTCACATAACAACCGACATAGGGCAGGGGCATGTAGGGGGTCCCAAAATATGGCAATTTAACGCAACTTACCTCTATACCAAGTTACTTCCCTAAGGAGTTATAGGCATAGCACTAACAGCATGTCAACTTGCTCGTTAAAAGAAAACTTCCCGTTCATTTTGAAAAAACTCAAACAACAATTACTCAATTGATCAACTCACTTGCCTCATTGTCAAGTTTGACGTTTATAGTAAGTAAAAAAAGTTTAAGAATTGAATTGCCCACAAAACAAAGCAGAGATTTTTGAAATCCATCAAGGGTTAACAAAATTATGTTGAATATTAATGGTGCGCCACCCGGTATACCCCCTTTACAAATTTCAATTAAACTCTAGTTACTGTCAAGTAACGCCCTAAATACATCCACAAAGTGTACCAAATTTGGTTGCTTTAAGTTCAAGAATAACGAAGATATTGATTTTTTTCAAAATTTATAACTTCACTTTCAAAGCCTATATCTCCCTAGGGAAGCAACTTGGTATAGAGGTAAGTTGCGTTAAATTGCCATATTTTGGGACCTCCTACATGCCCCTGCTCTATGTCGGTTCTTATGTGAATCACCCTGTATGGACCTACTGTCACTATGAAAGCACTTCATTTTAATTCTAATTATAATCTGGTTGCCTATGTCCAATGCAGCATTTGACAAGTCGTTATTGATAATTACCCACTAGATTCGAATGCAATTCCTGCGAATCTCGCATCAGAACCGTGAATTCGGGTTAATTATAACAGAGGTGTCTGTGTCTTCATGAACTAGTAGTTCACAAAATGATGAAAACTACCATAGTAGAGAAAACACACTTCAAGCCTTGAAAAGGAGTACATAATGGTAGGTTCTACAGGGTGTCCCTAAATGGTATGTACAAAATTTTAGCACATTCCTGGGGTCAAAATAAGCCGATTTAAAGCAACTTACCTCAGTCCGAAATTGCTTCAGTTTCCGAGATACAGGGTGGTGAATATGAAAAATGAAAATCGAAAAGTACACTCCAAGAAAGTATTTCGAAAAATCCATTTTTCTAATTCACTGACCAAATTACATCCAAGAAGATAACAGCAAACATTTTTTATTCAAAATAATTCAAATATTCCGGTGCATAAACCGACATATCTCGAAATCGGCGGAATATCACAAGACTTTCCAATATTTTACCTCCAGGGTCGGTCATCGTGCACGCGACCTATACAGGGTGGCCCACGGTCGATGGTACCTTAGACGTATACGGAAAACGGTACATTGGATTATCCTGAAAATTTGGATACTCTAATAAGCGTTTGTGATCTAACGATTCAAAATATTTTCAGCGATGCAGCGTTGCCTCTTTTACCAAAAAGTAGCATCATCTTTGTTATTTCAAATGAAACACCCTGTATTCCATTGCGTTTTTAGATTCTTCTCGAAGAGCTGATTTCATCAATGCATCACACTTGGGGCCTAGCAAGAATTATTACAGAGATATAGGGTGTTCAAAATCGAGATTTTTCAATTTGAGGAATTTTTTGTGTCGAAACTATTCATTATCGATCAAAACGGCTTACATGTCCCTATCTTAACTTTTGATTCACTATCTACTGACATTTAATTGGAACAGATACAGGGTGATCGAAATTCTGAATCTTGGACCATCCTGTATTTTGACACTTTCTGAAATTCAATTGACTATTCTAAAATACAATTGACGCTTATCCTATTGACTATTCTGAAATACAATTGATGCTTTCCTGAAATGAAAGTGACGATTCTGAATGACATTAACTTATTTGTGAATGTAGATTTTGTAAATTTATTCGCGGATGATATACTATATTGGCATGCTACAATACTAACTTGGATAAAGCTATTGAGAAAATGAATATAGCATTACAGGAGGTTAATAAATATATCATGGCGAATAAATTGAAATAGTGTACAATGAAAACCAAGGGTATGATTATATTTGTTACTTTTTGGCAACCACTCAAATTATATATGTAGAAATATATGTAAAAAACTATATTTCCTTGCAAGAATTTCTAGAAATATATCCGTTCAGTCAAAAATTACTGTATATAGGTAATGCGATATTCCATTTATCCAACCTCATTGTGATTACTGTGCTTCTATTATTTTCCTTTTCAATGTAAATCAAACAACACAATTACAAAAACTTCAAATTCGCGGTATACGCATAGTAATATCTGAGATTAGTATTTTCTAGATTTTTTTTTCATTATTCGGCTTGCTGAAAAAGATATTTGAGGTTGGGATTTTTCACAGCTCCGGTTAATTCGTAGTGTTTCCAGATTTTTTGTTCTTCATTTTCACAAACATAATACGGGGATTTTCTGATGATCTTGTTGTGAATTCGTGACCTGTTCGACCAGTTTGACCAAAATTTACAATCTTCATTATTTGTGCAATTCAATGTATAAACTACAGATTCTTCTCACGGTCATAGACACAACGCCAAGAAGGAAACTGATAAATATTAAGATGTATATAAAACGAAATATTTATTCTATTGTCTAATCTTCACATGCTCAAATTTAAAATTGTTTTATATAAAAATCATGATTATTGAACCTTAAAGACAGATTTTTGTGCATAAGTTTTCTTATAAAAATCATAAAACATCTTGTAAAGCAAAAAAATATTCGGGACATAAAAATAAAAGAAAGTTTTTGGTACTGCACATCCTGGTAAAAAGGCTATGACTGAATGAATGAGCATCAACGTGAATTGTACCTGAAAAACAATAATACAAAAGAATTGCATAAAACCTATGGTAATTTATGAATAATCACTCTGAAACAACAATGTTTATGTACCGGGTGTGCCAACTCTGTATTTATACAGGCATTTTCTCGAAAACAGTTGACACTATCAATGTTCTGAGAACAATGATTCAAATGAGAAAGTGATGTTAAATTATTTATAAAAACAAACCCCCGACAAACATCACTAAGCACACACCCCTTTTTTTTTAAATCACATCTAACTCTTTCTGGTGGTATGTTTGTAACACAGTAACTAATTAAACTTGACATAATTTTGTATCGTAACAAGTATACGAAAGAGGAAAGACACATTATGCATTTTTCATGGATCCCACAGAAAAAATCTGAGGGGGATTATTCTGGGATCAGTCATCTGATTCCGCCTTTAGATTCATGATGATGGTGGACGAAACTCCTCATGGAGTTGTTGATTTGACATTATCCAGGACGCATTCATGGAGAGTGTGATACATCATTGAGTTCGTAATCTGATAACCTACTGAAACATACCACAATCGTAAGGGGGATGTAATTTGAAAAACAAAAATTTGGGTATGTGTTAAGTGGTGGTTTGTCGAGGAGTCGTTTTAATGACTAATTTTTGTTCACTACACTTTCTAATTTACGCCAAATGTTTCAGAACATTGATAGTATTATACGTTTTCGTTGGGACACTCGGTGTGTATACAGTCTCAACAATAAGAATCATATTAAAAAAAATGCAAGTAACTTGTCCTCAGATACATACAAGCGACGTCATAAAAAATGCCCTGTTATCATTTGGTATAAATGTCGCCAGATCTTACCATTTGAGCTATAGTTAATTTTGACTTCCATGGCACCAAACTTTTTTGCCATTCCGGACCAAACGACGACAAATAATAATACGTGTACATGAATATGTGGATCAGAAGGTTCGTTTGAACGTGTAGCGAAAACATCCCACCTGAAATAGAATAGGTATTGAGTGTTGAGTCGTATTGAGATATTTACTGTTGTGGACGAGAGAGAGGAAAGTACTCTCCTCTTCCATCTATCTCTTCACGGCTACCAACGTAAACGTATTATAATACCGGGTAGAGACTTTAACTGGAATAAATTCGCTACTGGGGGAGTGGATAATTTTTCTAAATATTCGCGGGACACTTCAACGTTCAAATGTATTTACCGACATTTGGCGGTCAATATGGAGAATATAATAACCCTTCAGGGGTAGCTGCAATCAACGGCAACATGTTTTTTTCAAATGCAACCTTATGACTTGCGACCCCTTATTGAAATGCTGGTTGAAAGAGAAATCTAGCGTACTGGTCATATTTCAGTTTGCAGTTACTTTTGGAGGTCGCATAACATCAAAATATGATTTCGAAGTTTGAAATATTTTCAATGTATTTTCATCAGAATTTCTACTACTATGGGGTACATTCGCAAAGAACCCCGCACATTTACTACGGAAAACGGCTTTCGGCTAATTTTTCTGAAAATTTGATATGTTTCAGATATTAGTGTCCTTATTAGACGGTCCAATTTACAGATCGGTTCTATGACCAGTATTTTGCATCGATTTGAATTATGTGCTCTAAGTGATGAATCTTCAGTAGGAATAAATGCTCCACGTCCAATTTCTACCTCATGAATCCCTCTATTTGAATGGATAATAATATCACATACAGGGTATTGCATTCCATCATGGCAAGGTAATATTCGTGGCAATAGACAAATATTGAACTTATCAGAATTTCGATTTTTACTCACTGATAACTTGAAAACAAACGGCTAGAATCAGCCAATTATTTGACACACTATGGATCTTGATCATCAACATGAGGATTCATATGATCTCCTCTGATACAATGTCCGGTTTGCCATATATAGGGTGAAGACAATTTGAAAGCTTGTTGATAATCAAGATACATGGTGTGTCGAATAATTGGCCGAATCTAGCCGTTTGTTTTCAAGTTTTCAGTTTTCGATGCAAAATATTCTAAACAGAAAAAATCATGTTGATGGTGGTTTCAGCTACTCCTGGTGGGATATATTATCGATATTGCTTGCGAAAGGTAGGTAAATAAATTAAATCGTTGACGTAAGTCAAAAACTTTGAGAAAAAAATATTCACCTCTCCGCTAACGAATTCATTCCAGTACTATAGAGAGGTACGTTAATTAACTCTTCCACATGTTATGATTCGACAATTGTGAACTTTGAAGTAGCTCTATAAGAAGATTCTGAATTAGTTATAAATTTTATAATTATATGCATTCATTTATATTTATTGATTTCGATCAATAGTTTTAAGATTGTTTTGCAAAAATGGTCTATTTTGATTTTTTCAGAGTCAATTAATTCGAAAAAGTCCGAATTGATTAAAAAAGTCAAACTTTTCGACTTTTTTATAAAAGTCAGGATTCATTCCAACCCTGCTATCTTCGGAAATTACAAAGTAGAAAAATTATAATGAACGATATATTTCTTGACGACGGAGTGTACATTTATTTCAACTAATTTTGCGCGAAAGTCAACTTTGCCATTTGAAAAAGAGGAAAAGGTTATCGGACCTCTCTCAATTTCAATTTCAATACGGTTACGTTGGTAGCACTGAATAAAAATTTAAGAGAACTTTTCTCTCTATCTCGTTCACGATATCGAGGGGCTCATTGATTACTATAGCGTCTAGAGACAAGGCGCAACAAAGCAAGCAAGTCTACAGAAAATTTCCGACCGAGACCCTCGCTCTTGGCCGATCCTGAAAACAAATAATCATTGAAATAACGAATCACTATCTTCATCAACTGTAAATTCGTCCAAATTATGATTTCGAGGAAGGGCAGAGAATATATTTTCTGCATAAGAAAGGAGAATTTGCTAACAATCTAACCTTATTCGGCCTAAATGAACCGTCTGCCTAAAAAGTATATTTTTCAAAAAATCACTTGAGAAAACAATTGAAAAAAGGCGACCCTCGCATCATGCATTGAACCCGAGCCGCCGGTGTGGCATTCGGATACACATCCCACTGTACCACTCACTTACTAGTAAATTGCAGTATGAAGAGAGACACCAGCATTTGCCCGCACAGGGTAGAAGCAAATCTCACCACATGGATCATTTGTTGCGCCCTGCCTCTAGATGCTTCCCATTAGACTTACAATTACAACCACTGACCCAGTGGCGTAGCTATGGACGGGCAGTTCGGTGCGGTGCACCGGGGCCCCGGGGCATTGGGGCCCCGGAGGGGCCCCTATATCCCAATCTGCATTAGCAGGTATAATGCAAGAAAGTATTGGTGTGCAAATTAATTCATGAATCCTGACACTTTTTTGATCCTTGTCAGATTTTTGTGAAATTTCGGTCAAATCGTATAGATTCATGTTCCGGAATGTTAGTCTAAATATTAGTTTCTGTGAAAAACTGATGACTTGATCATTATATATGGAAAAACCAAAGTTACTATTTCACCCTTTACTTCTTAACGCCATGTGGCAAAATTGAGTTATTGAACTTGGCTTCATTATGCTCTGGATTGAAGTTTGATCCCTTCCTAACACAATGGTTGCTGATTCACGTCAATAACTCGTTTTTAAGAGAATATACGAGTGTTTTAAGAAATTATGGCATTTTTCAATTATCATATTCAACAATAATCAGATTCTACATCAACTTATTGAGTGGACTTGGAGAATAACTAAAATTCTCCAATTGTAGCTCTTGAAGAGTCTCTGACAAGGCCGGACGAATGTGAATGAGCCTCTGAAGTTCATCCCTAAGATACTCTAGAGGTTTTGAATTATTGTTGACAAAAATTAAAAAATTCCATACTTTCTTCGAACACTTGTATATTCTCTTTAAAAGGAGATATTGACGTGAATCTTGAACCAATTCGCTGAGAAAGGACGAAAAAGGATCAAAGAGTAACTTTTGTCTGTCCCTGTATAATGATCAAACCATCAGCTTTCATCGGGACCTAATATACAAGCAAATATTCCGAAACATGAATATACGGTTTGGTCGAAATTTCACCAAAATCGGACAAGAATCAAAAAAGTTACAGGGCGAAATTTTATGGTTGTCGGTTTTTTTTTGCCGGTGAGTGTATATTCCCTACTTAATCATTATTGCTGGGCGCCTATATGAATGTTGAACTCGACTGTGATTTTACAATATGAAATATTGCTGCCAGCAGCGAGACCAGATCATAATCGTCAGTTGAAAGCTCGGTTGGAAGCTAATCAAAACGGTCACAGGCTGAATATACCTATCAAAATTTGCGTCCTTATACACGTGTCCTAAATTTTTGATTGTTTAAATTTGGTTGCCCTGTTGGAGTCATTTTCATGCTACCAAAATCTTGAATTATAAAATGGTACTAATTGATAATATCTGTCAGATTCAAAATACATTAGTTGTTTCAACTAAATACCGCGTTAGATTGAAATTTCTGCAAAAGTCACTGCATGATACAAGCGGAGGTGAGGCGATGGACAAATAGCTTCATTCAGATTGCAGAGAACAAGCGGAGGTATCAGGTGGCTGCCATGGCTCGTCAACATTTGCAAATACAATTCTTAAACTTTGTCATTTCGTGACTTCATTCGAGAGAACAGAAAAATACTTAGGTACATTCAGTTGTTTTCATTGGAAATTAAATTAACTGATGGGGCTACTAGATTCATACTGTTCAAGAGATAAATATATTCGATTCTCACTTTGAACTTCTACACCAGGCAGCTTGACCTTGAAATTTCGAAAAGAATTGCCTGAAGCGCAATTTTGCTCATATCAGCTTTCTCAAATTTCAAACTCATAACGACTCGCCACTACAAGAGATATACATTTTTAACAATTCTGTTCTTTTTTTTCGATCTTCAACTACCTTTAACTCTAGGGTTGGAAAATTTTCTCAGTGAATTAGGGCCCCATCAACCCTCGTTGCACCGGGGCCCCGACACCTCTCGCTACGCCACTGCACTGACCTATGAACAATGAATGGAAAGACAGTGTTACACCAAATAATTCACCTCGCGCATACCACGTGATCAACTTGGAAAAGTTGGTTGACGAGTATGCGCAATGCGTACATCGGACTGGGTTGGACATCATTCAAACAATAAAACATGTCATATCTCATCGTTGTTGCTGTTATATGCAATATGACAAGAAAGAAAAACATCGATGATAAAACATACATGATGGACAATAGTACACCAAACACAAAACGAAAAAATGACTGACGGACGATTGATCATGGAATAACAGAGAAGCAACCTCTGATAAAATCTACTAATATAGACATACGTTCTAATCACAAGACTCCAATACTCAGAAGACATGCAGTAATGAATGTGATATACAGGGTGTTTCATTATTATTGCACGAAACTTTGAGGTCATATTTTTTTGGTGGAAATTAGAGAAAAAGTTCATATAAACATAATATATGTCCGAAAAAGATTCTAGAGACACGGTGTTTCTTAAAAAAATCGATATTCCATCAATTTCTAAAAATGGTCTGAACCGATAGTGATAAACGTATACCAACCGTATTCACATTTAAATCATACTGTGATTCAACAAATTAAACTCTCCTTGCATACTTTTGGACCTTTTATTCATCATTTCTGATGTTCTTCTCAGAGACAAGCACGGGTTTGGTTTTATGTTTCTCCTCTAAAACGAGGACCGCTACAATAAAGCCTTGAGATGTATTTTGAGTTGCTTCAATCGAAAAAACTATACAGAAAGAATGGAAAAAAATTAATGGGTGATATTTTTTATGCAAAATACTATTGGACTTGTCCCGTGGGCACGCCCATGGTTATACTTCATCAACTGTAATAGGTCCAGAAAAGCTGACTTATGTGACTGTGATTTCAACAGACATTGTGAATTTTATCACGATCCATTCAGGCAATTATTAGAAATTATTGAAAAATCGATTTTTTTCAAGAAACTTCAACACCCTGTACCTCGGAAACGAATCGTTCTTGAACACATGTTTTCATGAATTTTTTTCTTATTTCGACCCCAATAGGAACTCTTAGCACCGAACATAAACAACTCTTAGTTTCATGCAATATTAATGAAACACCCCTTATACTGCGCAGGTGCCTTTAACAATTTTAATGCTCGCTTTTTGGTCTTGAAAATTCCCTGCTCACTGTCACTTATTGTCTCTACTTTTGTTGTTATAGGTCAGTGGTTACAACTCAGCAAACGGCTTAATTTACGAAATTAATCGATTTCAACATAACCTCCAATGAATTTGGTTCCGACGTATGCTATGAATAACGTAGACACGTGATGGTACAGGTGCAGTGGTGACACCTGGTTGTATTTTTTCCTGAGCACGAAAAACACCGTTTCGACCAACTCGTACATCTTCAGTATGTACGTCCAGTACAGAGCGGACAGTTGTCGCGTGGCGTTAAAGGAATTGGAATAGTCGACTGTTTGACAGCCGAGACTGTATTCGCCTTGTATCCAGCCAGATGTCATCAACTGAAAACGAAATAATGAAATTATATCTTCTCAATAATTGCATAATTCGTGCGGAACTTTACACCGAGACATATTTAGGATGACAAATTGAAATCTAGTCACAGTTAATTTCGAAAAAGCACAATATGCGAAAATTGAATACCGTAACGAGGCTTTTTCACAGCCCTCATAAGAAATTGTACAGGGTGATCTTTCATAGCGTGACAAACAACAAACCATTTTTCGGCGTTTCTTTGTTATCACCCTGTATAAGCTTTCAAAAATGTTGTGTGGTCGGTGACTGGCAAATTCTCAAAATCTCAAAATAATAGTCATTATGACTATCGTGTTATCTCAAATGTCTTGAATCGAGTCTTCAATTTACCTTAAAGTCTGAATTCTTCATGTTTTTCTCTTGAAAACTAGGAAAGGTACGAAGAAACTCATGCAACAATGTAGTATCATCTTCTGTTTTTGAATCGAATGACAAAATGAGTTTTAGGAAAAAAATAAGGTTTATCATAAATATCAACTAGGTTACCCCTTTGGGCGTCACTATGGAATTATTATTATTTTATTTATTTTTTTTCGAAACTGTTGATCTCACAGAGGAATACTGACGATATGAAAAATGATACTCATGAAATTCTAAGTTGGACTATTCGTGATCTATTCTTCTAATTGCCACGTCTATACCTCACAAATGGCACCTGAAGTTAGGGGTACTTTTGGACATTTGGAATAAATCCGTAGTATTCTGTTCTTCGCGAAGGATATATCTAGATCGGCTTTCTTTACGTGCAAAATGATCGACTATTCGTGGTCTATTCTTCTAATTGCCACGTCTATACCTCACAAATGGCACCTGAAGTTAGGAGTACTTTTGGACATTTGGAAAAAATCCGTAGTATTCTGTTCTTCGCGAAGGATATCTCTAGATCGGCTTTCTTTACGTGCAAAATGATCGACTATTCGTGGTCTATTCTTCTAATTGCCACGTCTATACCTCACAAATGGCACCTGAAGTTAGGAGTACTTTTGGACATTTGGAAAAAATCCGTAGTAATCTGTTCTTCGCGAAGGATATCTCTAGATCGGTTTTCTTTACGTGCAAAATGATCGACTATTCGTGGTCTATTCTTCTAATTGCCACGTCTATACCTCACAAACGGCACCTGAAGTTAGGAGTACTTTTGGACATTTGGAAAAAATCCGTAGTATTCTGTTCTTCGCGAAGGATATCTCTAGATAGGCTTTCTTCACGTGCAAAATGATTCAGAGGAATATTTTAGACTATACAGGGTGAGTCATAACTATTGGGACGTATGCTAAGGGCAGATTGTTTGGATAAAAATATGGCGATAGGACCGGATATGCCAATAAAATATTGCTGTGGAAAAGGTACAGGACTTTAAAGTTGAATATTTCAATTGGTTCTTTTCTGATAATTCTACTGTGTATTAATCAATTGTTATCAAACTCGGACAGGGGTATAATTTTATACAGGGAATATCATTTTATGTATTGTTCTATAGTTTGTTACAGGGCACCACGTGAATGATTCCTGATGAATTCGACTGATAACTTTTTTGACGAAACTCTTCAGTGATTTTGATTAGAAAATATGATATAAACATAATTTCCATGTAATAACCTTAGCCGTGGCACTTGATATCTCCAAGGCATTCGATCGAGTCTGGCACCACGAACCCCTCGCCAAGCTTCCATCTTATGGCTTGCCTCCCCAGCTATGTTCTCTGCTAGCTAGTTTTATCTCAAACATGTCTCTCCATTTAGTGGTCGACGGAGTTCCATCCTCGGTTCCATCTGACTCTCTCATCATAAATGCTGGTGTTCCGCAAGGATCAATTCTAGCACCAACACTCCATATCAACGTTTTGTTGGAAGCAACTTCATGTCCAGTACACAGCTTCGCGAATGATAGTACCCTCCATACCGCCTTCTCTTCCAGAGCTCCAATACCAGCCATGCAAATCAGAAATGAACGAGGGAGAAATTCTCGAAAGGGGATCAAATAACTTGGTCGATTTCAATGCAAACGAGACACAAGCATGCCTTTTCTCTAGAAAAGCCGATCTTAATGTGCCCAACATAAGCTTGTCAGGGGTAACCATACCTTTGAAGACATCCATTTCGATGCTTGGTATCACTATCAGCAGTAACCTTTCTTGGGAAAATCACGTGAGATCAATTGCTAAAAGTGTATTTCAAAAACTTGGTTTTCTGTTTCGGGCCAGGAGCTATTTCGCTTCCAGTCAGCTGCTTATGATCTATAAGGCACAGATCCGACCTGTCCTGGAATACTGTTCCCATATTTGGAGTGTAGCACCCAAACATACCATGAAACTGTTGGATTCTGTCCAAAAAAGGGCAATTGATCTCGTGGGTGATGCCTCGCTCACAAACTCACACTTCTCTGGAACACCGTAGAAAAGTTGGCGATCTGGCTCTATTTTATAGATATTTTCATGGGCGATGCTCTTCTGAAATATCAACAATTGTTCCTCCTTTGGCAGTCCGCGAGATTAACCCGTCGAGTTGAGGCTTCGCACCCCTTCGTGGTCACTTTGGAGACCTGCAGAACATCTCTTTCCAAAGACTTGTTCATCCAACGAGCAGCGAGGCTTTGGAACACATTCCCAAGGGAGGTGTTCCCCGAGGCATATAACCTCCAGACATTTTAGAAGAACACCAATTCTTACCTTATTTCCCTTGATTCTCACGATGTTCTTTGAACAATACAGGATATCCCTTTTCGTGGGAACCAGAATAAAAAAAATGGGTACACTTGTTCAAAAACTATATTTCCATCCGTTTTCGAGAAATACGCAATTCAAGGAGAAGATTAAAATCTCCTGAAGATGCTAACATATCGAAACACGTGTCGAGGCGTTTAAAAAATCGGTTTGGTTAGTAGTAAAACAGTGTAGTGTATTTACATATCAGGTTTATTCATCTCGAGAATAGCGAATAAGATACAGATCAAGCAAGTATGTGAATCTTGAAGGCTTTCCTGATCAACACAAAAACACTTATATTATGGTGTATTTATATCTCCAACATGGGTATGAAATGCCAAATCAGCTGAAATGGGAAACAAATCATGCGAGAGTTAATCTATTTCCTCTTTACTCGATTAAGTGTGACTGAAGATCAGTAATACTCTGAAAGAATTTGCTGCCTCTTTACCAAACTTACTTTTATTTGCCTTCACCGAAGAAAACAGAAGTCTGAAATGTTGGAAGGAAAATATTCATTTCTGATCAGGGTTGGAATAAGTCATGAGTTTTATAAAAAAGTCAAAAAAGTCTTGACTTTTTGAATTAATTCGGACTTTTTTGAATTAATTCATTTGAGAACAAATCAAATTCAATTTACTTGAACAAAATACAAAAACATCGAAGAAAAATTTTATTTCCGTTAAAAATCTCAAAGCATGACAATAAAATACTTAAAATATGCAATTTTTGCAATATAAACTGAGACTATTGATTGAATGAAAAATGATGTTTATGCAAATTATATTACTCATTCACAATCTTCATTATAGAGGCGCTTTACAGTATTTTCAATAAAATAAAATGGTGTCACCATGGAGAGTAATTTTTCGATGCATTGCAAGAAATGAGTCCGGACATATTTATTTATATTGTGGTAATTTGTATCACTGGTGCAATTCTAGTGGTGACATGTTAGATTTTCGGAATTTCACGCATCATTAGATACACATTGGATCTTACTTTTCTTGCATTTCTCATGGTTTCTTCTACCCAACTCTTGACCCAACTCAAAACTCGGTGAGAAGTAATGCACACAATCTATGACAAAAAGACATTGCAAGCCGGTAATTTCGATTCAGTGTTGAAAAGCCTACATATTATTTTTGCCGGATATATTAATTGGGGCAATCAATTGCATACAATGAAATATTGTAAACTGTAAAGCGACTCTTAGAAAATTTTGTTTTCCGCGTGTGGTGCTTCACGGTTGTCAGTTGTCAGATGCCATCGGATATTTCATTTTAAACTAGTTCAAATTGAAGGTAATAATGCGATTTGTTCCCATTTGATGAATTTTGAATTAATTCACGACTTATTTGAAAAAAGTCATTTGAATTAATTCACGAATTAAATCACTGACTTAATTCATATGAATTAATTCGTGCCAACCCTGTTTCTGATTACCAAAACCCACTTTCCCCTCCTTCGAAACTCACTCATTCGCATGTAGCCCCAACATTACATTCATAAACAATACCTTATACGAGACCTTATAATATGAAATGAATAATATAGGTAAATCAGTCTTTTATGGAAACTTAAAGTTTGTACTGATTATTTTGCACGTAAAGAAATCCAATTCCGAGATATCCTTTGCGGAAAAGAGCATACTAGCGATTCATTAAAAATATTCCAAACTGCCCCTAACTTCGAGCAAACTTCAGGAGTCATACGATAGAACTTTTTCGACTTGAAATTTGATATAAATCATTATTTATATCTACAGTTTTTTCTGTATTGAAAATGGTTATGGAAACATTTCTGAAAGACTGAGAGAAACACAAGATGTCACGTGTTTTTTTTTTTTTTTTGAAAAATAGAAGTTTGCTCACTCGCCACCGGTGGAAACCTTTCGGATTCTTATTGTACTACTACTATTCCCCAAATAATAATTCATTTTTTAAATGTTGTCTCCTATTCTACAGGTTTTCGTCTGATTTGCATGTATAACGTACTCGATAACGTATACAAAAGAGATTGTTTTGCAGATTTCTTTAGTCGCTTTCAATTTTCAGAAGTAAATTCAAGCAGGATCTTGTATAATATGTGAACTCACCGTATATAGTATTAAACAGCACAACACAACTTGAGATATATTGTAGATCCTAATTGTAGTGGTGAGAACCAGAGGTTCTCTATTTTTCATTATCGCTGGTAAAATTACTAATACAAGCAATAAATATCCTATGGATATGTACATTATTGTGCCAAATCCTCCCATAAAAGTCCATTTTTCCACTCGAGGATCTATAAGAAAATAGAAAACTTGAATATAGCATTGGCGTTTGTTCTCTAGTATACAGGGTGTCCCGAAATTAACTTGTCAAACTTCACCAGCGGCTTCTACGATCAAAAATAGGAAAACAGTTGCAATCAACATGAGAAGAGAAATTACTCCTATGGAAGCTACGGCCCTCTGGATGTCCATGTGATAACAACATGTAATTTGGTACAAGACCTAAACTTTCCATGTCCAATGTAGTAAAAATAAAATTATTTCAAGATTTCACTCTGGAGTGTCAGTGTATAACACATTAAATATTGCTAAAAATGTTTTGTATGCATATTTTTCGACAATTTATTCTCGGATTATAAAAATGCACACCTCTTTACAGAAAAAATGTTGTTCCGTAACGATCAGATGTATCACTATCGAGTGAAAGCGATTCGAAAATATCATTGGCCACTCAAGCGCCACTATAGACCTAATATTTTCAATCTAGTTAGGGCTAAATAAGCGCCATATTACTTAACAAATTTGTACCAAATTTCAACTAAATCGGTGAAAGGGTATACCTTTTTTCAATTTCAACGCCATCTATCTCAGAAACTAAACAATTTCTGACACTTTCTTCCTTGAAATGACCTAACGAATCTTCCTCTGATATTTCATATCGTATAGGAAACACATTATATATTCGTCCTTTGGTATTGACCAGAAAAATGATTTTGTTTTCTGAGCTATCACAGGAATAATTCAAACATGTTTCTCCTCGCAATTTTTCACACAAGTGGAAACGTTTCGTTGTATTTATACATCTATTTGAACTCATTTGACTCACCTGAATGTCTCATTAATAACTCGTGATATTTCTCGCAAATATACATCATTCAACGTTTACTTATTGCACAAATATTGTTGAAATCCTTATTTTCCTATTGATCCTTAATATACGTTCGAGAAATAAAGAAATAAATAGCCTAGTTGTTTCGCAGGTGAATGCAGTTTTTCAAGATAACATAAATTAACCATATCGATCACACAACTAGGTATTCCAAATACTTCAACAATGTGATATCTTAATGCACTTCATCGAAACTTTTACTTACTAAAATGTAGAACATTTTCATTTACATAACGGGTGTCCGCCTGAAAACTTGAATACTATAATAATTTACTTGTTTCTACAATGAAGATTTTAAATTTCAAAGGATGATGAGGTAGACAAGTTTGAGTGCCTTACACTCTCAACTATCTCGACCTTATTATTCCAAATGACAACCCATTTAAAACGAGCCAGATTTGTCCTTTGTTGCCCATTAGAGTATCACTGATGAATAAATATTATGGTCTTCATGTTGTATCAGGCATATTGAGTTCGGGTTTCTTAGAGAGAATGCTGACTTCGCCTTTCGTAAATACTGTCCTTAGGTTAATCTAGGAGGTGTGTATTCATTTGGTGGTTTTCAAAACAACCAGAGGTCGTCGGTTTCTCCAGCTGATATTTAAGCAATATCTTCAATGGCAGCGTTGCCTTCGTTGTGTGAGTTCTCAAGTGGGTTTCTTGAAACTAAGCAGTTCAAAGAGTCACATGATTTATATAGATTACGAACAATGTTGGTGCTCGAAGAGATCCTCAGAATTGATGACCATCATGGTATCAGACGATGGAGCGATCTATCTAAAAGAAGACTCGATAGGAGAAGGCGATAGATAGTTATTTTTCATACAAGTTTCCGTGATATAAACTTTGAATTCGTGAGAATACCTATCATCTAGTTGTTATAAATAGTGCGAGTCTGAAGATATATTAACAATAATTATTAGGAACATCGATAGGAATCATTTGTATAGCATCGAATAAAGGCTTCAGTGTCCGCTGTACACCGTCCAACCGAGAGACAAGAGAATACTGTGATGGGTACTGATTTACTGCTATTCGAATTCATCAACTGTGGCTTTTGTTTAAAAAAAAAAAGTATTGTATACTTGTCGAGGATAGAAATATTTTTTCGAATTGTTCTTTATTTATCGACATAATTTTTTGTCAAAATAAGAATGACTGATCTCAGGCCCTCCTCATTGTGATGAAAGGTACAGAATTTCAAATTTTTATTATTGCTATAATATAACGGAGGTTATGTGAGTTTTTGCGCGGACACCCGGTATATGGGAAACTTGATAATTTTGTTTTTTACTCATTCGTTCAATTAGCGTAGGTAGTGGGTGGGTGGTTAAACAATGCACTATTTAATTTTAAATTATTAATTCGATTTCATTGTATTGATTGTGTGCATGATGATAAATGTATTACCATTACGCTAACCAATGAATGAATAAATTGATACAAGAAATTGAAGTTGACATAACGAGTCCAGCAGATGAGTTGATGTTTCAGGAGTTCTTTATGCAGTGAGAATATTTTGTGTTGCACCCCTCCCCTCTCCTACTTAACAGGTTTGGTGCCGCAATGTTGAAAAATTCATCGTCCCCATTGGCCAGAAACATCTTTCATCAAATTATCTTTCAATATTTCTCTTTAACCCCGCATAACTATTTTACATCTCCATGTACGATTTTTAGTAGTATATGAGAAATTAGTCACGGGATGCCATGTGAGTCCAATGTGGCGTCTCCATTGACTTGTCGATTTTTGTTTGCGGTGCTAGTTGACAGCGACGGCGACGCCGCTGATTCATTAGTATGTGTAGCGGTTCTTCATAAGAATTCCATTTGCCTAGAATGGCCTAGATTGTTTTCATGTCACGCATTCAGTGAAAAAATCCTAAATTAGTAGATAGATAAAAAATAATTATGTTGCTGTTTTATTTTTATTTTATGATAAAAATTAGCTTGAGTTTAGGAATCATTCACTTTTTCCTTGACTTTCAACATTGATCACTTGTTATCAGCATTTTCTGGAAAAAATTATTGAATTTAATGATTTAAATAATTTGAGCCATATGAAGCACAGGTCAAGCAGGGTTTCTACACCATCTGGCCGAGCATAAAACGCTCCTGCGTATTTTGAATAGATACGAAAGTTCAGATTTAAACACGATCGTCCCATCAATTTTATTGATATTTTTCTCTTAGTGCCGCTTTCATAAGGGCACGGGGAACCCCTTTTGTAAAAACCCTTCAATTTATGGTGTTGTCAAAAACAAAATTTGCGGCAATTACCCTTCGTATACTATTTTGGTATTTGAAATTTGGATAATATGAATTGTATGCGCTCTCAGGGCACGGGGCCCTTCATTTATTGAGAACCCGTTCATTCAGTTATAAACTCGATTTTTCGACAATGGGCATTGACAACAATTTTACAGCTAGTAGCATCACAAAACACTAGTATCAAATCATGGATGCAAACCAAATCTCATGAATGGTGGAACAACTCGCCAGGTATGAGACAGGTAAAAGAGTTTATTAAAAAACCATCGCCAACATTCACAGAATATCTACTGAGCCAGAAACGAAGTTCAACTAGAATACTAGTGGGACTTCTCACAGGGCATTGTTGGCTCAACAAACACATGACTACGATAGGTCTGACTGAAGAACTGCTGTGCAGGTTTTGTCAGGGAGAAGAGGAAACAGCAGTATATACACATACTTTGCCACTGTGAGGGCTTGTCAAGACTAAGGTTCCTTACGCTGGGTGAGGAAAAACCAGAAGCCCAAAGATACACAGAGGATCTGAAAGCTAGCCTATGGAGTCTCATAGAGAAGGCGAGGCTAACCGAAGAACTCTAATCGATTTTGAGGGCAGACACAATAGATCTGAAAAGGTCGCGGTGTGGAGGCAGATAGCCCGAAGGCCCCATTCTAAATCTAATCATCTAATCACTTTTTTTCAACTCCAAAACTCTTAATTAGGCTGATGATAGTCTTTTATAAGACCGAAACATATCTCTCTTGATTGTGTACCAATACCATTAAAATTTTTGGAGATGACTTCGAGCATTCTTTCCTACCTTTGATAATAAGATATAAACCAGATCATCCCATCTGAACGTACACATAAATATTGAACACAACGTATCGCTATGAGTAGTCATTTCTAACTACCTCTTTGCTCATCCTGTACCGTCAGCGTGTCCCAAAATTCTAAACAGTGTATGGTATTGTAACAATCTGGTTCCTACTAAAGGAATTCGACTTGCAACAGTCTGGTTCCTACTGTTACAAGTAGAATTCCTTCTTTGCTTCCATTTGCATTATAAACCTCCTGATGAATCTCACGTGAGGAAATTTTTTAAATTCAAAGATTTCGAAGTACTTCATTAATAATGAGATGATAGTCTGGTATTACTGGACCTTCTGTAGATTCAAATCCATGTTCAACCACAGGACCGATTTTTTAATTGTCCCAATATGTATTGCTGAGGTACTACGTTACTACATCCAATTTGTGTGTCTGATGATGGCCTGTGGCCGAAACTAGTTACACACTCATTTTTTATCAAATACGTTTATGGTCGACCGACTATGTGTCTTCTGTTGTTTTTCCTTCCAAAGATCCCCATTCTTCTTTGGCATAGAAATAAACTGCCCCTGATGAGTTAACTGAAATTCCATAACACTGATGAGTAACAGACGACAGCAGCATTTTTCGTTTCGATTATTTTTCCATTTCTTGTTTCAGTCAAAAGAGAAAATGATGCGCGGTGTGCGGAGGGGCTGCGTCAGACTGAAAGGGGCGGTAATCGGTATAGATGACGAGGACGATAGTACGTTCACAGTAACGGTAGACCACAAAACTTTCCATTTTCAGGCGAGAGACGCCGAAGAACGGCAAAAATGGGTGCACGCCCTCGAGGAGACCATCATCAGGCACGGCAGCAGGGTGAGTAGTCACGAACTGATCTAACAAATAAAGGCTGACGCACGAATTCATTTTGCCCAAACATGTGTTTAGGCGATTCCTAAAGACCAATCAGAACGATTTGGGCTATGGCGGTGGAATCAAATCACTGATAACATTTTCACATTATAAGGAACGCATTTTTGTCATGGTTAGTTATTGGTTGGAAGATCTAAAATATCAATTTTACAGGATGGACCACGGTCGATGATACCTTAGACGGTTAGTATTTATACGGGAAACGGGACATTGGATCATCCTGAAAATTTGGTTACTCTAATAAGCGTTTATGATCTAATGGATCAAAAGATTCATGCACTTCTACCAAAAAGTACCATATCTTTGTTATTTTAAGAATAGCAGGAGAAGATGGAATATATCTGGCCCTACTTCAGCAAGGGCAAAATGAAATTCTACCACACAGCATCTGTTTAAGTCGGAGCAGTCTGGAAATTTGCTATATACCAAATGCATGGAGAAGGGCGAGTATCACATTCATTCCCAAAGTTAGGAAAAAGGACTTCACACATCCGAAGTCTTTCAGAGCAATCAGCCTCACATCATTCATGTTGAAAACGATGGAAAAGGCTGTAGATAATTATTTGAGAACAGAGATCTTGGAGAGTTTGCCCCTCCACCCCCCACAGCATGCGTATCAAGCGGGCAAATCTACAGAAACTGCACTGACAAATAAAGAAACAGTAATATGTGCCTTCTTGGATATAGAAGGAGCTTTCGACAATACTACCTATGCTGTGAAAAGAGCACGAGAAGTAGATTGAACAAAATCGATGGATGTCCCAACTGCTCTCTACAAGAATTACAGAAACGAAGGTTGGGCAAGAGACCGTATCCATTCAAAACAACCAGGGGCAGCCCGAAAGGAGGAGTGCTATCTCCCTAAATGTGGAGTATCACAGTAGACGAACTACTCTGTGGGCTGACTGACCTCGGCATATCCTGTCAAGGCTATGCCGATGACATTGTCATACTCGCAAAGGGTAAATTCGAAGGAGCTCTCTGTGACATGGTGCAGAGAGGACTAAACTTCACGATAGAAAGGTGTCAGTCGGTGGGACTAATCTCAAAACCATCAGAATCGGTGAGATCGATATAGAATGGAAAGAAGAGGTAAAATACTTGAGACTTGTCCTGGACCAAAAACGTCTATGGAATTATCATGAGAAGGAAGTAATCAACAAAGCCACAAAAGCTTCGATGATATGCAGAAACATCGCAGGAAAAAGCAGGGGGTGCACTCCTAGAACTCTCAGATGGATGTACACAACAATAGTGAGACCTATTGTCACATATGGAGCGGTGTTCTGGAGAGTCAGAACTAGTCGAGCCTCCACAAAGGCTAATCTCACGAAAGTTTAAAGACTGGCATGTGTATGTATTACTGGTGAAATGAGAACGTGTCCCACTGCCGCAATGGAGGTGATTCTAGACCTCGCTCCTCTACATTCAGTTGTGGAGAATGCGGCAAAGAGAACGACAAAGCCAGGCCAAGATGTCCACTCAACCAGGAAATCCAGGAGTTACCCCAGGCTGAGATAAAGAAAAAATACAGCTTTGTGAAACAATTCACCACGACACGGGGCTGCAAAAAAGAATAGAACAGTGAATCCATGAGTATTGAGCTCAAAGAAAGAGCCATAAAGTAGTACACAGATGGCTCCAAAACCGGAGATGGAACTGGAATGTACGTGTCTCGTACCAAGTACATCGAGAGCCTTAGCAAATTCCCAGGCGGAAGTTCACGCTGTAGGGAAATGTGTACAGTACAATCCAAAAAAGAGCCATGAAAGACGAGATATCATTATCATGTCCGATAGTCAAGCAGCCATTAAAGTGCTGAGCTCTGTGGTTATCAGCTTTGACATGGTTTGGGAATGCCGGGAAAAACTGAACGAGCTAGTCAAAAGAAATACAGTCACCCTTCAATGAGTTCCGAGACATTCGGGGGTAGAAGGAAATGAAGTGGCGGATGAACTCGCTAGGAAAGGAGCTCCAACACCCTTGGTGGGGCCAGAACCCTTCTGCAGGATCAGCAGCAGTACTGGATCAGAACAAATCAGAAAAGAAGAAGTTAAACAGAGGTCAGACATATGGGAAAATCTACAAGCTCTCAGAGTGTATAATCTCTGCTACTGGGTACATATAACCACAAAAGATCGAACGCATATGTCAGCCTGAGTAAATTCTACTTAGCATAATAACGTTAGTACTAACAGGGCACTGTCGGTTGAAAGGACATCTTAGGAAGCTCGGCGTAGAAGAAGATGATTGCAGTGCACTCGAAAAAAAGTATTATGAAAAATCCATTTTTGCACTGCTCGTTCACTGAACAAATTAGATCCACGAAGATAACAAAACATGTTTATTCAAAATAATTTAACATCTTAACGGCTTACTTTAGCGAATTTTCACAAGTGTACCTTTTCTGCTCGGAATTATTCTGAAAATCATTTCTTCAACAAAAAAAAGTGAAAAACTAAACTGAGACAAAGTTATGGCCATTCTAAACAATAAGAAGTGCATTGGTAAGTGCCCTATAATGACTACAGTGAATAGGTGTCTGTATTCTGCTTTCGCATTCCAAAAAGCCCCCAGATACCAATTTTTTAAGTGATTCGTTTGAAAATGTTCATACATTAAAAAAAATTAATTTTTATATTTCAACTTTACCACCCTGTATCTCGCGAATGGAGCAATTTCGGACTGCGGTAAGTTGGGTAGAACTGCATTTATCATGCGATGGTTTTTTTTTTCGAAATTTTGTTTTTGGTACGTATTTTTGTCTGAAAAAAACACGAATTTGATAATGAAAATGTGAACAAACCACTATTTATCGAGATATTACAAGAAAAAGTTCGAAATTTCGCCATCTTTTTCCCCTTGTGTTGGATGCATTTACAGGTACTTGCTCTTTTTATTTTGTCATCGGACACTTTATATACTTATGATGTACTTCAATGACACATTTATATATAGAAAATTCAACAGGAAATATGATTTTTATGGCGAGTTTTTCATATTTAGTGAACAATCATACCAGATGACGGCCATTCAATCAATAGTCAATCCAAATACGAGATGTCAAATGTTATATGTTATTTTAATGTTATTCATCCTTCTTTTCACTAAATATGGATAAATCACAAGAAAATCATGTTTCTAGTTGACTCATATAATAGAAAAAAATGTGTCGTACATTGTGATATTTATAAATTGTCCAATGATGAAAAAAGACGGGCGAATTGTTCTAAATGCGATCCAGAAGACATGCAAAGAAGGTGAAATTTCTTGATAAACAATGGTTTGTTCACATTTTCACTATCAAATTCGTGTTTTTCAGACAAAAATGCGTAAGTACCAAAAAATATTTTGGAAAAAAAAACCATCGCATGATAAATGCACTTTTAACGTAAGTTGTTTTAAATCGGTTTATTCTGACCTCAGGAGTATGTGGTGAGATTTCGTACATATTATATAACTTTCAGGGACACCCTATATAGTTATGCTCAACAGATTGACGAACGTCTCGCGGACACCTTGTATAATTGGTATCGAGCGATTTGTTACTCGAGTATCTTTCATTCATCAGTTCAAGAAAGTAAGCCAATGTTTTGTCACTCTCAATATCTTGTGTCACGTTCTGTCAAATTTATCATATTCATCTGACGTGATGACATCGAAAGTTTGGTCCCGTCCATTTCTACAAAAATACCCGTTGATTGGATTGAACATAATATTGAGTAACCGGAGATCCGTTCACAATGATATGAAAGTCCCTGACTTCACTGAATATAGAAGGAACAGCCTGAAAGACCCCACATGCAGAACGTCGGACTCCGAAAGCTCGAGGAAGTGTTTATCATACGGCATTTTCGCCACTGGGGCCACAGTGTTCCTTTACGGAATCAAATCGGAGATTATCAGATACGTCAATGTTATGGCCCCCAGCGCCGATGTTCTGGCCATGGCGAAAATAGAGGTTAACCTCGGCGATATACCAGCTGGCAAGTCAGTCACTTTCAAATGGAGAGGAAAGCCGTTGTTCGTTAGGCACAGAACCGCCGAAGAGATCAGAGTCGTCAGGTCTGTTCCTTTAGAGACGCTCAGAGATCCCGAAGACGACTCCCATCGTACCAAGAATCCAGATTTTCTCGTCGTTCTCGGGGTCTGTACTCATCTCGGCTGTGTGCCTATAGCAAACTCTGGGGACTTCGGACCAGGCGGGTACTATTGCCCCTGTCATGGGTCCCATTTTGATGCTTCTGGAAGAGCAAGGAAGGGCCCGGCTCCCACCAATTTGGTCGTACCAGAGTACAGCTTCTTGAACGATAAGACAGTGGTTGTTGGGTGAATGGTGGTGTAGTTGTTGGAGATAAACACTAGAAACTAGTTCATAAATCATTGAGAAAGTTTGTTCCCAAATGCTATTTTTTTCACGAATATTTGATCAATACAATTCGAAATAAGATCTTGCATTTTTCTCACAACGGGTAATTCTATATCAATATTGATCAAAATCATGAGATGTTTATCGTCACCATTCGCTGACTCATTTGAAAATGAAGATGCAACCATTGTTCCAAACATATGGATCCTCGATTAAAGTTACTTCACCAGGTCCGTTAACTTCTCTTAAATATAATTCTGGGACAATCTGCCTTCAAAATAGTCTAGGTGTCTCGTTTTCTATACAGGGTGTCCCAGAACAACGTACATTAAATTCAACAGGGTGAACTAGAGTTCAAAATGGGTCGATTGGGACCAACTTACCTCTGTTCGAAAATGCACCGTTGGGCCGTGAAAGGGAGATGAATGGAATTTTCTTTTTTTAGATTTTATTGAATATTTCAAAATCCTTGAGAGGTAATGCTCTGAAATTCGGAAGGCAGTCAACTATAAGAAGTGTGCATAGATAACAGGTCTCATCAGTTCAATCGATATACAGGAAGATACAAATTTAG